TTGCCTCCTGTAGTTGTGTAATAGTGCAGTACTGTAGTAGCACAATGTAGAGAAAGGGGTGGAGTTGATACTGAACGAGAAAATAGGAGCATTTGCATAATCATGCATATTCAACAGGTTTTCTAAATGGGTTCAGACATCTACAGCAGGGGTGCGCAACTCCGTTTCCAACAGAGTTTGGCGATTTACCTGCTCAAACCCACCTCATTACACTTATCTGTTAACTGCCAGGTTTGGTGGGTGTGTCTGAGAAGGGGAACTACCAAACTCTGCTGGACACCGGCCCTCCAGGGACTGGAGTTGTGCATCCCTGATCTACAGTTTAAATATACGCCATACGTTCACAACACCAGTTCCAAGAGTAAATTATCAGTTCACAGCGTCATTTCAGTGCAGTTGTTATCCATGGGCGAGGGTGTGGTTACCTTAGTGGAACGTTCCACAGCACTGCAAAATAGCTCAGCCATCCGATACCGATATTCCGTAATCCGTAATCCTCAGGGGAAATTCTGAGGGTCCACATTGTGAAAGTACGGGGTTTCAAACAGAAAACGTTTTTTTCTGATGTCGACAGATCATTTGGTTCAGTTTTAGTCTCACCTTAACCCACTGCACAGGTTACGGTACATCGTTTTAAAGCGGCTCTCTGCTACGTTAGGCTGCCTTTAGGAACTTGCCAACAGCCCAGTGTTCCTCCTGTGAAGCCATAATTACAAAGGCTGCGTGTTCACGTGCCCCGCGGTCATGACCAGTGAGGCTACGATGAAGGTGTCGTATGTCTTTCGTCTTTTCCGTATCTTATACTGATGGTCTAACCAAAGCTTTTTGTTTTACTATCCGGTGTCGACCAGAGGATGGGTTCCCCTTTTGAGTCTTGGTTTCTCTCAAGGTTTCTTCCTCTATCTTTTTCCTCTTTCTGTGCCACTGTCGCCACTGGCGACGCTTATGGGGTCTCGGACCTGGATCCCCGTAAAGCTGCTTTACGACAAGGCCTGTTGTAAAAAGCACGATATAAACACATTTTGACTTGACTGAAAATCTTAGTCAGCCCTCCTAACGTCTTCCCAATCATAAAAAAAGTACATAACGCAACCAACAGTTCCAGATGAAAGCAAACTTCTGAGCTAATCATTGACTGCAAAACGTTAACTGCACTTAGAGGAGTATTTACCCACCACTGATGAGCGAAACCGTCGTTTTCTCCACCATGATGACGAGTCAGAGACTCTGAGCTCAACCTGAAGCTCCTACTTCTAATTAAAGGCACTTTGCTCTTAGCTTTTCAGCTCAGGAACCTACATTCACTATTATCCTGTCAGCATGTGAGGCAGCAACAGTCTCTTACAGCAAAACAGCTGATGGGTAGCACTTTTTCCTGAGAGGCACTGCACGTTCTAGAGGAGTCTCATGGTGCTCCTGTACCTGCTATAATTTACACACAGCACGCCGAATCCACAGAACGTTCTGTTTTGAATCCTGAACTGATCTGCAGACGCACTGCGTGAGTATGAGCAGTTTCTGCAGTGCTTGTCATGGTTAATCAAGTTAGAGAAAGGGAAAAGTTACAGCCCGTGTCTAAATCAGGGTTCTCCAGTCTTATCCACAAAGGGCCTGCAGGTTTTCCTACCAAGCAGGAGATCATATCATATAACTAATCAGCTGTTTGAAGGCTGAAACCATCAGATGGAAGTGTATTCAGGTGTGCTTCTGCTTGACTGCAATGAAATCCTGCAGCCACACCAGACCTCTGTGGATAAGACCGATCTAAACCACCCATCAACCTGAATAGTGGCATCCAGCTACAGCTGCTGAGTCAATAACTGCAGAACTCTCAAGGTCTAATAATATTGCCATGGATTTGTGTATGGCAAGACTTCAGCTTCTCTAGATGACACTGTGACTGTCCAAGCAACCATGTGTACTTCTTTGCATAGACTGACTATTTACAGGTTATGCTGAAAGTTCTTTGGCCACCATTTCTGGTTCCCTGAAGAACCCTTCAATGGATGGTTCTTTAAAGAATTTAGTAATTAAGATACTAACATGAATTCCACAAACTGTAAATGTTTTGAGTTGTTCTCCTAGAACTAGACATTCATGCCAAGACCCACTTAAGAACCTTTATTTTAATAAGTGTTGGTGAGGTTCCTTCAACCGACTCGACAGTGCACATCCATCAACAGATGTTTCCTCCTGCAGGCTTCATCTAATCCATCCAAAATTGGACAGGGAGCATTTTTCCTCCTCGTTTTGTCTGTCCACTAAGTATTATTTCACACGTTTAGAATTCATAGCAGAAATTAAACAGCAGCGAAGTGTCTTGTGCTGACAAACTTTGTCAAAAACATTTAATGATTGATTCAATCTGAGCAGGAAAGAACTTCGGTCTCATTTTGAGAACGTTCTCCAACAGCAGTCATCATGTGCAAAGTTGAGACTTAACAGTTTTCATCCTGAGGCCTACAGGAAGCCTGGTCCACCAGATTGTTTATGAATATAACAACTGTAAATACATCTCACTTCACAGAGTGCAGGGGTTTAAGCCAGAACACTGTTCTAAATAGTGTATATTTTAGCATGTAAGCTCATCTTCCCTGCTATTCTCGTCAGCAAAACTGCAGCAAAGTCAAGTATCTAAATATTTTAAGTATCCAAGTACTGGTATAGCTTCAACAAGCTGCCTTATAAAACATTTCCCTTAAAAGATCACTTACAGAACTCCTCAACAGAGACTCTTGGTGGACTTACCTGAAAATGGTTCAAATTTCAGGCCAATGAGATGGCAACATTGCAAAATCTGAGATTTATCAACATGGTTTCAGCCTGGTTACTTGTCAGTTTGGGATTCTTCATTTACCGGGTTTTGGGTTAACATACAGATTTCGCAGCCAAAGTTATAAAGATTCTTGATTTGAACCAAAAACTAGCATCCCACCAACGATGACGCTGCATGGTAACAAAACGGCAAAACTATGCCAAGATGAGTACTGTCCACTGCGAGTGTGCAGCCAGGATCAGCGGTTTAAAACGTCAGCCTTGACGTTTTCCTTACAGTTCATAAACCCACCTGTGTGTGATTCCCCAGCAAATTCGTCCAAAAAGGTGGTGAGATGTTCCAGCCAGTGTTTCTCTTCAACCCCAGTCATGGGTAGCAGTCACACCAGTGGTAGAAATAACCAGGAAAAAGGGCAAAAACGCTTCAAATTTAATATTTTTACCCATAAAAACACCAGCACAGGGACAGAAATGCCCCAAAAGAACTTATTAGTAATGTATTTAAGTAAAATTAACATATTTGAATGTAATAAATTATTATTTATTATTATTGCTGCTACTTTCACACATCACTTAATTTTGACCTGCCTGCTCACCTTTAGATTAAACACGCCTACATAAGAAAATGCTGATGTCTAAATTCAAGAGCATTCACCACCAACTCCATCTTCATCCACATTAAAATGGAATAAACACTGAATATAGACGCTATTTAATTTCTTTTTTGGCTGTTTTTGATAAAACCTGTTAGTATTCTGATTAAAATGCCACTTTTAAAATTTTGCAAAGTGCCAACATTTGTGTGTAAAATGCCCCTGAAACAAAACTTGCCCCATTGAAAAGCTCCATTTCCCACTTTGCTTCAAATTACACTAATATTTACTAACATCAAGTTAGTAGACTCTGATTTATTGGCTGCTGGTGATAAAACTGTTAATATTCTAGAAACGTGTTGCTCAGTATCCTGACTAAATTGTTATTTTTAATACAGGCTGAATTAAAAACATTCATCTGATTTCAAAGCGCCATATTTTTCCCCCACTGTGAGGCGTCTAGGAACCAATCACAATCCAATTGAAAGAGGGGGTCATAGAGTTTCTGACTGTCAGTGGAAGACGGCTCCCTTCAGTCTGAGAGGAGATGAGACCCCTGAGCTGAAAGCGTTCTGCGTTCTCCACTTCAATAAGAGTGAATCCGTCATAACTGTGCAGTTTGATTTTTGTGGGCAGTGAAGCTCCAACAGCTCAGAGCATTCGTCGTTGGTTCCACAACACTGGATGATCTCCGAAATCGCACTGAAAGAACCCTAAGTGCAGTGACACCCGACATGCTCAATTGAGTATGGGGTGAATTTGACTATGGTGTTGATGTTGTCTGTACAGCTGGAGGAGGTTCATACTGAGCACTTACAAAATTACATAATAAACTTTATGCTCATTAAATCATTTACAGTTTACTGCATTGTTCTGTAATGATTTACAAGTGAAATAAAACACTGAAATCGGATGAATCTTTTTGAATCACACTGTATTCTGCAAAGTGCCACCATTTGTGTATAAAATGCCCCAAAACAAAAAAAAAACACCATTTCCCTTCCTGCTTCAAATCACCTAATCTAATATTTACAACTTCAAATTACACTGATATTTACTGAAGTCCAGTTACTAGTGTTTACAAGTTCCTACAAACCTGCATTTGACACTTGCAGAGCCAAGAAGTGAAAGTCCTGCTCTGTGATACTCCACCAAGTTTCATGGCCACAGCGTACACAAACAGGAAGCGGTCTGAAAACGGCCGCAGTGGTTCTTGAACCTTGGTTTATATTTCAGTTCTGACATTATGTGCACAGAGGTGACCACAAAGGATTGGCTTCCTTTTCTCCTAGGAGCATGAACTGAAAGACCGTGTGGAACCGTAAGAAAACATTGAGGAAATAAAGTCAGTCATGAAGCTACGTTTTTTATTAAGTTTCAATGCTGTTTTGAAATCTGTTGACTGTGTTGCAGGAGAATCTTAAAATCTTTAAAGGTACTAAAATGACTTACGATCATACTGATAAACAGCTTTGACACTTTCAGCCTTTTTAAATCAAGCCAGCCGTGACGTATAAATGACACGCAGATAAACACTTTGCCTCCCAAATGAAAAGGAAAGAAGAGAAAGATTAGCTGCAGAGAACAGCAAAAAACCCTGCGGAGCTCCAAGGGAAACCCCTCGGCTTTTACCTGAGGCCCAGCCAAGGCGACGGCAGCTCCATCGCTCGGTTCTCCTTCGGGGTTACATCCTTTATCTTCAACGGCTCTAAGCAGGTCCTCCAGCACCGACGCCCACTCTAGAGGAGGAGAGACATCGGTTGGAACAGTAATCAATAAATTAAAAAGTAAAACGAATTAAATTAAAACTACGGATAAAAAGAGAAAAAATATCTGTGGGCCATTTCTGTTGGTAACTGAGTCTGTACTGTGGTGGGTTTCACCTGTAGCCGGATAACTAGCTACATTAGCTTTAGCGTCGTCCGACAGGCTTCAGCTCAAAGCACCACAGATCAATTCTGTTTTTATCTTTGTCACTTCAACACCGGTAATTCGAATCTGTGCTCTCAGATACGAGTCTTTATCCTCTAAATGGGTATTTTTAGTCGTCGGTTTGCTAGAACCGAGCCCATACCGCAGTGGGAGGCACCGTAGGGTCGTGTTAGCTTAGCCTAGCAGGCTGAAGCTTAAAAACAGAACAGGTCCGATTTCGGATTTCTGTCACTCCAACACCGTTCAGTTGAGTTTTTACAGTCTATACTTGTGATAGCAGAGCAGTCAGTCAAATCGAACCTGCACTGTGGTGTTTAGATCTCTTTAGCTAAGCTAGCTAGGAGAGACGAGCTGGCTTGTATTAGCTTAGCTAGGAGGCTCCAGCTCCAGACACCAGAGAGCAGGTTTAATTTCTTTTTTCTCTCCCTCCGACAGAAGCCGCTCAACTTCGCTTCCTCAGATTTGAGTCATTAACATCACTAGTCTGAATCGAACCTGTTTTCTAGTAAGCAGAGCTAGCAGCCTGCTCACAAAGCTAATGCTAACCAGCTACTCTCTCCTGGTTATCAGCGCCGTTTAGTATTTAGAAACTGGTGTTACACTGAAGCTGTAGCGTTCATTGAATGTTGGGTTAAACTTCGTCCACTGTTTTCATTTATTTGCTCTTACTAAAAAAAGGTTATTATATACGAACTGTTTATGCTTTAGAGTCTCCGCCTCTGCACCAAAGTACAGTTCAAATCTGTGGGAAACGCCGACTGAAGTTCATCTCGGTACCTGGATTGAAGGTGTCCTGGTCCAGCATGCCTCCGTCTCTCAGAGCCGGGATCTCCGCAGGCTTCAGCTTACTCCAGGGGACGTAGGTGACTCCCAGCTCCACGTCCCAGTACTTCTTAAACCGCGAGCTCACGCCTTTGTTCAGCGCCCAGGCAATCTGACCAAGAGAACAGCAGCATCTTCCCAAGTGATTCGACCACAAAAGAACAGCATCAAACTGACCATGGAGGAAAATTCATCTCTGATCAACACCAACATACATTCCACACCAGATCACTGCAGCTGACGGTCTCTCCTTCCAAACGAATTAACCAGCAGCGTTTAGTCATCTAAGGTTGTAATCTAATTACAGCTCCTTCACACTGTTTTTATTTATTTATTTGCTTTTGTGAATTATTGTTAAACCTGTAGATATTTCTAAACATCCTCCAAATATTCAAACGGGAATTCCACCGATTTGCCGTGATGTTATTCCACGATAACACACTCCCTCTTGTGTTCTACTGCTTAAAAATAGAAAATAAACGTGTAAAAAAAAGCTAAAGGTGAGTCTTAAGAGCAAACAGGGATGTTTAACTAACAGTTTATCATCTGGCTGCGTTTGATGGGACACAGATTTCAGCGTGAACAAATTTTTCAGTGAGTCATTATGAAGCCACAGTCTCAAGTCTGCTGAATCTCTGCGCTTTTTGTGCTCATAGTTTTGCTATTTTTGCCATAATTCCATCTTCACTCAGCTGTACTGACAGCCGCAAACGGCACGATGCCCCAAAACAGCCTCGCTTTAAAGACTTTAAAAGGTAAGCACCTCCGAGTGTCACCCTAACCCCTTAGAACTGAGTTACAGGGTAGTGGTTGAAATCTTCCCTCTGAAATGAGACCCTCAAATAAAAAGAGCATCACTTCATTAACAGCTACCAGCGCTGCTCTGTAGGCGACCCTGCCAGTCTGCAGTGACAGCAGAGGAGGGTAAAGTTCAGCTCCTCACTGTTGGGCTTTAGTTACATTTAGGGCATCATATGCCTTCAAAGAGGGGGGCAGTTATTTATTATCACCCACCCCTAATTCTTCAGTGATATGAAGCTGAAGTCAGATATTCACCAGATTCTTGTTAGAATTTTCCTGTTCCACCTTAAATGGAGCAGCAGTTACATTTGGTGCCTCAGGCATCAGAACTGCTGGACTATTTAAGGTGGAACGGGAAATTTAGCTAGCTAGCTAACGAGCCATTAACACTACTAGCACTTTTTATGCTTGTTATGAGGAAAAGGATCAAAATACATTGAAACGACATTAAACTAAGATAATACAGTTCTTCTGCCCCAACACTTCACCTACCCCTCTATCTCAACAAGAATGGGGACACCCTAACCCAAAGTACGAACGTCTAAAGCAGGGGGGTCGGGCTGAGGGGTAGGGGCGAGGCATGAAATGGGATTGGGCCTTTATTATAACATTACCAGGGACATGAAGTAACGACATAAAAAGAACCACCCTGATTTCAGGTTGACTTTAAAGCGCTGCTGAAACCCTTCAAACCAGAGAGGAAGGGTTTGTACCTTGAAGGGCTTGTGGTTGATTCTGGCGCTGCCTCTGCTGAGCTTGTTCAGGGCTGTGGAGGCGTCCTGTCTGTGCACCATGACGATGTAGGCACAGCCTCGAGGAGGAATCATCTGAGCAAGAGAGACAGGAGACAGTAACGGTGAGGCAGGACTGCAGTTTGAAGGGCAAAAATACATCACCATCAATGGAACAGTATGAAAATTACCCATCATGACATCAGTGACCAAAATCACTGGGCCTCATTCTCCAAAATCTTAGGATGAGGCCCAGTGTTAATACTTTGCAGAGAGTCTGCAGAAAGATTTTTTAACTTCTACCACCAATTTTTGGATCAACTGGATTAATATTATGTGATAACTTACACTTATTTTGACTGAATTAACTATAACCGCTGAACACAAAAGATAAAAACTTACGTTTATAGATTCGATCTGTCCGAATTCCTCCATCAGGCTGCTGATGTCCTGCTGCTGTGTTTTCTTATCCAGCTGACCGATCCACAGTGTTGTGGTGCAAACTGAACACAGAGAACGCACATCAACACTAATCGGTACTTATACAGTACATACATACATACATACATACATACATAAGCAGATACAGTGGAAAAAAACCCAGATAAATATATATATTTTTTTATATAAACAATAAAGTAAACACAAGTAATGGAAGGAAAGCATGCAAGTAATTTTATAAATAAATAAATATAATTATAAATAACGCTAAGCCTGCTGATGCAGATGCTCCCACTGACCGCTGAGCGTCTCTCTCCTGATGGGCGGGAGACCCTTATGTTTCCTCTCTCTCTCCCTCCGGTCCTCAGTGCGTGACCTCGGCGACCCCCTCCAGCGCTCTCTGGACCGAGACCGCGAGCGCCGGAACCTCGAGCGATGAGAACGTGAGCCGGAGCGGGACCTCCGCGTACGGGACGACGAGCGTCTCCGAGGAGACCTGCAGAGACGGTGAGGAGCTGAATTGTCACCTCGTTATAACCAGAACAGGGAGGACCTTCAGAACCTTTAGTTACAGGTATCGCGGATAACAAAAGTATGCAGTATGCACATCTCAGATGGACGTCTGAGGAGACGAGGGGAGAAACTGAGTGGACAGTGCAGATTCTACACTTTCAATCAGAACCCCGTTTGTGTTTGAGCAGAAGAGGAGAAATTATTATTTATTATTTATATTTGATAACGTTACTGTTGCGTGAACAGCCTTTACATTTTCGCTGTTTCTGACAGTTCTTGACTCTTTTTTTTCTGTTTGCTTCAAAGTCAAGACTGCAGACTTGAACCTGCCGATACAAATGTAAATTGAACTAATATGCAAAATTACACAGCTATGCAATTAATTATGCAACTGCATCCCAAAATGTAAGAATTATGTAATGAAGCAAGTTATAATGCAGTAAAACAACAAACAAACAACCAAACAGACAACCACAACAACAACCACAACAACAACCACAACTTACATAGAAAACTTCTTAAACCCAAGGTCTCTTAAAGTGTAAAAGGAAAACTTCAAAACAAACAGGTAAGATGCTACAGATAGAAACAGATACAGGCGAGAAATCATTAAAACCTACGGTAAAATAACAAAAAGACAACAAAATAACAAAAAGAATAAAAAAAAAAACAAATAAACAAGGAAGCCACAGTACAGCAAAGCAACTGTAAGAACACTAAAATAACACACCTCGACCTCGATCGCCTGTTGTATCTCCCATCCCGATCATCTCTCCTGGACTGGCTGGACTCCATTAGCACATCCTGAAAAGAGGGGAGACTTAAAACAACCAATTTAATCTGGAACGAGTAAAATATTGAGGAGTGGACTGAAGATATAAAAAACGCTGAAATTATCCAGAAGTAAAACACATTGAGAGCCTTATTGCTGTGCACATCTACTAAAGGAATAGTTTGGCAGTTTTCCCTGGTTTTCCGAACATAATCGATCCCAGATGTTCAGTGCCTGAAGTTAATGCTGCTATAAAGCGATTGTAGATCGTTACAAACAAAAGTACGAACAAAACTCACACCTCGACGTCAGTGCTACTGTTTAACGCTCTGTAACGGACTTCAGTCCATGTCTATAGATATCAGCAGGTTGGTGGTCTCTGAGGGTGGTGGTCCGTACCTGGGGCTGTGCGCTGACGTGGCCGTGGTTTTCGTTCCGAGGGATCTCGAAGGGGCCGGACGGCTGGAGGTCAGGGCGAGGCTGTCCCGCGGCCTGCGCCGAACCAGGAACCGACTGAGAACCCACTGCCTGCAGCGCTGCCTGCACGTTCGGAAGCACCTGTACAACAAAGCAGAGCATTAAAAGGGCCAATACCCGCACATTTTCCCCCCGTTTTATATTCCCTCTCTGAGCTCCACCAATGACATCTGAGCAGTTTAGTGAACCAAAAACAGAAGATCCATATTTACATGACCATGTAAAAAGCCTGGTTCTGTTACTAAAGATTCATATCGCTGATGTGGGAAGAAAACCTTGTTATCTCCAAAATGGTAACTTTCCAGGAGAAGGAAAAAACATACTTTACTTTCAATGTAAGTCAATGGAATCAGAATTTTTACCAAGTCATTTTGGGTTGTTTCTTCTGGTTCATTCTCCATTAAATTTACACACAACGTAAAGGACAACAGGCATTTTCAAATTATGTCAAACTGAAAAACGGCAAAAATGGAGATACAAGATTTTCTTCCGATATCAGCGATATGTAAATAAGCTCTGTTCTCATTCAAAAGGCAGTCCAGGCTGAACGACCCTTATAACGAGCGTCAACACCTTCATGCAGGTTTTATTTGATGCCTGGTCACATCAAGCCTTTTTTATATGCCAGAATACAGATAAAACAAATCTACAAATCAGTGACGGGGCATTTTTAACCAGGTTCAACCCAAACATCTCAATGACCGTTACGGTCGTACATCCTTCAAACATTAAGAACTTTTTTTTTCTTTTTTCCCCCTCCCTCTTTCAGCTCATGAATGTGAGCGACAATGTCAACGTCATGGACTTTTTGCTCAACAGTGAAATAAAATACCTGGCTTGATAGTTGACCGAAAAGGTGAGCCTGTAAAGCCTGCTGCAGATCCATGAGGTTTCTACAGAAGACAGATAGATAGATAGATAAATAGATATATAAAACATATAAAGCGTATATAAAAACATAAAATACAAGTATAAAACACACTAATGTGCATGCCCACACGCACACACACTCACACACACTCAAAAAAATGTGTAAATGTAAATATATATATACACACACTGTCGAACAATTAGTATAGAATAGTATTAGTGTAGTGGTATAGTATAGTATAGTATTAGTGTAATGGTATAGTATTAGTGTAGTGGTATAGTATAGTATTAGTGTAGTGGTATGGTATTAGTGTAGTGGTATAGTATAGTATAGTATTAGTGTAGTGGTATGGTATTAGTGTAGTGGTATAGTATGATATAGTATTAGTGTAGTGGTATAGTATAGTATTAGTGTAGTGGTATAGTATGGTATTAGTGTAGTGGTATAGTATTAGTGTAGTGGTATGATATTAGTGTAGTGGTATAGTATAGTGGTATAGTATAGTATAGTATTAGTGTAGTGGTATGGTATAGTATTAGTGTAGTGGTATAGTATAGTATTAGTGTAGTGGTATAGTATAGTATTAGTGTAGTGGTATGGTATTAGTGTAGTGGTATGGTATTAGTGTAGTGGTATAGTATAGTATAGTATTAGTGTAGTGGTATGGTATAGTATTAGTGTAGTGGTATAGTATAGTATTAGTGTAGTGGTATAGTATAGTATAGTATTAGTGTAATGGTATAGTATTAGTGTAGTGGTATAGTATAGTATTAGTGTAGTGGTATAGTATAGTATAGTATTAGTGTAATGGTATAGTATTAGTGTAGTGGTATAGTATAGTATTAGTGTAGTGGTATAGTATTAGTGTAGTGGTATAGTATTAGTGTAGTGGTATAGTATAGTATTAGTGTAGTGGTATGGTATAGTATTAGTGTAGTGGTATGGTATAGTATTAGTGTAGTGGTACGGTATTAGTGTAGTGGTATGGTATAGTATAGTATTAGTGTAGTGGTATAGTATAGTATTAGTGTAATGGTGTAGTATTAGTGTAGTGGTATAGTATAGTATAGTATTAGTGTAGTGGTATAGTATTAGTGTAGTGGTATAGTATAGTATTAGTGTAGTGGTATGGTATAGTATTAGTGTAGTGGTACGGTATTAGTGTAGTGGTATGTATAGTATAGTATTAGTGTAGTGGTATGGTATGGTATAGTATTAGTGTAGTGGTATAGTATGGTATTAGTGTAGTGGTATAGTATTAGTGTAGTGGTATGATATTAGTGTAGTGGTATGATATAGTATAGTATTAGTGTAGTGGTATAGTATTAGTGTAGTGGTATAGTATAGTATTAGTGTAGTGGTATAGTATAGTATTAGTGTAGTGGTATAGTATAGTATTAGTGTAGTGGTATAGTATAGTATAGTATTAGTGTAATGGTATAGTATTAGTGTAGTGGTATAGTATAGTATTAGTGTAGTGGTATAGTATAGTATAGTATTAGTGTAATGGTATAGTATTAGTGTAGTGGTATAGTATAGTATTAGTGTAGTGGTATAGTATAGTATAGTATTAGTGTAGTGGTATAGTATAGTATAGTATTAGTGTAATGGTATAGTATTAGTGTAGTGGTATGGTATAGTATTAGTGTAGTGGTATGGTATAGTATTAGTGTAGTGGTATGGTATAGTATTACTGTAGTGGTATGGTATAGTATTAGTGTAGTGGTACGGTATTAGTGTAGTGGTATGGTATAGTATAGTATTAGTGTAGTGGTATGGTATGGTATAGTATTAGTGTAGTGGTATAGTATGGTATAGTATTAGTGTAGTGGTACGGTATTAGTGTAGTGGTATAGTATAGTATTAGTGTAGTGGTACAGTATTAGTATAGTGGTATGGTATAGTATAGTATTAGTGTAGTGGTATAGTATGGTACAGTATTAGTGTAGTGGTATGGTATAGTATAGTATTAGTGTAGTGGTATAGTATGGTACAGTATTAGTGTAGTGGTATGGTACAGTATTAGTGTAGTGGTATGGTATAGTATTAGTGTAGTGGTATGGTATAGTATAGTATTAGTGTAGTGGTATAGTATGGTACAGTATTAGTGTAGTGGTATGGTATAGTATTAGTGTAGTGGTATGGTATAGTATTAGTGTAGTGGTATAGTATGGTACAGTATTAGTGTAGTGGTATGGTATAGTATAGTATTAGTGTAGTGGTATAGTATGGTACAGTATTAGTGTAGTGGTATGGTATAGTATTAGTGTAGTGGTATAGTATAGTATTAGTGTAGTGGTACGGTATACTATTAGTGTAGTGGTATAGTATAGTATTAGTGTAGTGGTATGGTATAGTATTAGTGTAGTGGTATAGTATAGTATTAGTGTAGTGGTATAGTATAGTATTAGTGTAGTGGTATAGTATTAGTGTAGTGGTATAGTATAGTATTAGTGTAGTGGTATGGTATAGTATTAGTGTAGTGGTATGGTACAGTATTAGTGTAGTGGTATAGTATAGTATTAGTGTAGTGGTATGGTATAGTATTAGTGTAGTGGTATAGTATAGTATTAGTGTAGTGGTATAGTATTCTTACACAGCTGGAGTCGTTTCCTCCTGTTTTGGTTCTTCCACATCTGGTTCCTCATCATAATCGAACCGGTCCAGCAAAACCTGACAAAGAAACAAAGCAACACAAACACACTTAAAGGACTTTTGGCGGTTTTCTTTCATCTATACCTTTTTAGCTGAGCTGAGTAACTGAATTCAACAGTCAAGCATCCAAAACAGCATGCAAACAGTGTCTTTGGGCACCTTTATAATAACAGACACTCATCATTAGAAACTTACTAGAAAACCTCATTCACTCGTAGTCAGTGCCATCATAAAGGCCTTTGAACGATGCAGATACACTAACGACCCAACAGAACACAACAGCCACTGCTAACAATGCTAACGACAAACAGAAGACTGTAGCCTGCTAAAGGAAAACGCCTCTTCACTTTCAGCCAGGTTAATACTGTGTGTTTAAACTACTGGTCACACTTTATTTGGTTCCCTATAGACGATTACAGACACTTAAATTAAAAATAAACTTTCTGGTGATGTTCAGTTGATCATCAGGTTTTGCCTTAAGGTTAGGGTTAGTTTTAGGGTTAAGGATAGATTTAATAAACTCCCCCACACTGAACTTGAAGTTCAGCTGAATTTAATGGATATTTAGTTGAATGTTACTGAGCATTTACAAAGACTCTACAGTGGACCATTCAAATAACACTCAGATTCAATTTCAGTTGCATTTAATGACTATTTGGTTGAGCGTTACTTAAAGATCTACTGAACATTTACATATATAAAGAATCTACAGTGGACCATCCAAATAAAGTGTTACCAAACTATCATTTAAATGTTTAACTGACTGGAACAGTAGAAGAAGTTTAATGTCAAGAAAATCACCAAAGTTTAATGACGACACTGAATCATTAAACTGTTTTCTTCTCATTTCAACGACTGAAACAGAGCGACGCAGATGAGTGGACGTGTAAATGCTACACCGAGCCACAGGGATTAGCTCCAAGCTAACATGCTGCCACAATACAACATGTCATGATACAATACAACCTATTGTATTCTACTGTGACACTCCCACTGTGTAATTATTTTTCCCCCGGTTACCTTTGCGATTGTGCTGTTCGGCTGAGAGGGAGCAGCGCTCTGGGCAGCCGGCTGGGCGTTAGCACTGCTCTGCTGGAGAGTCTGCAGAACCTGCTGGAGCTACAGCAGACGACAAACAAAAAAAGGACAGAATGCATCTGGAATGATTAACATATAAGGGTGTAATTCATACCAAATCCAATGCTGTGATATTAGTTTCACTAATAAACTAATACAATGTTAATAAAGAAGCAACTCACGAAGCTGCTGAACAAATAATAAATACAGAAATTCACTTAATAAAACTAATAATAAACAAAATTATAAATAAAACAGTTCATGGTCACGAATTTAATATAATGACTACGCAATAAGCAGAAAGAAACAGTGAAGGGAACATAAAAAGAGGGAAAACTCGCTTCACTCACATCGAGGCCTTGACTGGACTGTAAAAACTGAGCGATAGCGGTGAGCACTGGAGGGTTCTGGTGCTGAGGGAAAGCGACGGGGTTCTGGAGCTGAGGGAGAGCCGCCGGGTTCTGGAGGTGTGGGAGAGCCGCCGGGTTCTGGAGGTGTGGGAGAGCCGCCGGGTTCTGGAGGTGTGGGAGAGCAGTGGGGTTCTGGAGGTGAGAGAGAGCCGCCGGGTTCTGGAGGTGTGGGAGAGGGGTGGGGTTCTGGAGGTGTGGGAGAGCCGCCGGGTTCTGGAGCTGATGGAGAGCCGCCGGGTTCTGGAGCTGAGGGAGAGCCGCCGGGATCTGGAGCTGTGGGAGAGCGGCGGGGAATCTGGAGCTGTGGGAGAGCCGCCGGGTTCTGGAGCTGAGGAAAAGTGGCTGAGATCTGAGTTTCTGGAAGGACTCCGGTACTGATGGGCTGGTCCAGAGTGACGGGGATGGAGGCAGAGGGCGGTTGGGCAGGTATCTCAGCAGCTGGAGACCCTACAGATCAGAAATAAGTCAGAAATTAGTCATGAAAATCGAGATTAGAGGACTTTTGATGAGGAAATTAGCTTCTCTCCAAAGTTCTATGTCCTCATTTTTAAAAATGAGGAAAGATCTGAACTCTACGCTGCACCAGGGGGCAGTGCTGAGCCTGTGTCTTCTGTCTTGGTCAGACTTTCCTGTCCGTTTAGTCCAGGGGTCGCAACCCAAATGTTAAGAGCCATTTTGTCCTTTCAACAAAAATCTAACAACCCTAGGAGCCACAATATTGTGTCCATTTCACCATCTTGGCTGTAAATGTGTCTCAGTATGTGCTGATGTTCTATTCTAGGCTAAAGAAATTTAATATAAACATAAACACAGACTTACTTTGCTCTGCTTTAAGCTTTAGACTCAGCTATAGCTGCTTTTCTCGCATCTCTGACAGGAAACTTTTCCACAAAAGTAGAACAGTTTCTGTAAAATGTCTCTCAACATTCGACTTTTTATGAGGCTGAAGTCGCTTCTCATTCACCAGCTTCTTGTTTGAATTTTCCCGTTCCACCTTAAATGGGGCCTGAGACGCCAGAATGTAACTGCTGCACCATTTAAGGTGGAACGGGAAAATCCGGATGAGAAGTGATTTCAGCTTTGTGACTTTTTAGTGTTTGTCAGTTTCTCATTCAGATTAAACGTATCAGGAAACCAGCTGGAGTGATTATAAACACAAATAAGTCCATTCGTCGTTGTTCACCATTCAGCGATGTTCATCTTAAATCTCTCTCTTTGTCGTTTCGTTAGCTACTAGCTAGGCGAGACTGTTGTCTGTGTTGCTATGGTGACCAGCAGTCTGCGCTGATCTTCAGGGTTAAAGGGTGAATTAGCAGTTCTACATTAACTCCAGAGTTTAAGACCATTTACTGTTAAACTGTGTTGAACGATCAGCAGAGCTTTATTTTGCTGTAAAGGAGGTTTATTTTATTTTTACCTACAAATCTGATTCTGCTGTGGAGCCACAACAGGACAGTAAAACAGCCACATGTTGCCGACCGCTGGTTTGGTCTAAAGAAGGAAATGCAAAAAGACCACTACAGCCGCTAAAGGCCACCACATACCAGACAACAAACAGTTCAGCTATAGCAAACAGGAAGCACCGCAAAAGATGCAGATAAACACCAAACAAGACCATTTTACAACCTACTAATTAAAATTTGATGGAATTAAAATTTTTCACCATTTATCACATTTAAAATCAGCTAATTAACTCCACACAAACTCGCCGTAAGGTGCGAGGGGGAAGTTAATGATGCGACTAGGCTAGAAACATTTATCAAACACCTCAAAATAAGAGCACTGATCTAAGATCAGGTCTCACCAGGTCAGGGGATTTTATTTGGTGTTAGATAAGAAGCCTAAGCTGATCCTGGATCAGTATTATTACTGTAAGACGTCTGATAAATATGGGCCATTGTTGTTGGCCTTGGTGAAAGGCAGTTAGCCTGTCAGTATCTTTTAAAAACTTCAGATTGGCAGATCTGCATGTTTTAAAACCTCTTATTCTCCAGGGTACGTTTTGGTTTGTCCATCTGAATTTACATGACCAAATCGTAAGGCAAATTATTCAACAACTGCATGAAATAAATGTACATTTTTATTTTATTTATTTATTTATTTTTTTGGTAAAAGTTAACAGAAAACGTGTTTGATGATCTCACATATTGCCATATGCTTACAATTTACTGCTGAAAGCCAAAAATCTTAGACGCTTTTTGTATTATTTTATAAAAATAATGTTTACAGAGCAGATCACTGAAGAGACGCCATCTGTTTATAGTTTATAGCCCAGATTTGTGAAAAAATCAGCTTCTTTTATTCTAAGGGTTTAAAATTACATCACCCATCTATCTGACTGGAAAGAAGACAGTTTCAGCTCTCATATGACCCCCACCTTTAGAATGCAGCTTATGAAATATGAAAGTTATGAAGAATATGACGAGGTGCGTTTTGGAACCACCGGTGTTCCCAAGGAGTTGAAAAGGTTAAATGGGAGGCAGTCCTGGACTGCAGGCAGGCCAGTCCAGCACCTGTGCTCTCTGATTGGGCAGCCATGCTGTTGTACGTTGCTTAAACTGTGTTCAGCATTAATGGCGCCTTCACAGACCTGTAAGTTACCCACTGATTAGGTAGCGACCGTTAATCTGTGGTTTTTGGCCTTTTCCTTTACGCACAGAGACTCCTCTGGGTCCCTGTACCTCGTTTATTACGCACTGTAAAGGACAAAACACCTAAATTGATGTATTTTTGGCAAAATAGCCATTCAGACCACTGAAATATCAGCTAAGAATAAATCAACAATTCAACTTTAACTCTTTAACTTGTCTTTGGCAGCCAAAAATACTGATGGAAATCAATGAGATCCGATTGTTATCCATTGTGTTTCGCATCTCTGTACCTCCCAGCGTCCTGCCGTTCTCCAGAACAGGTAAGAGTGGAGCTGAAGCCATGTCCAGCAGGGGCTGAATGACGTCCATACCAAACACAGAGTTCTTCTGCCACAGATTCAACACCCGCAAGATCTTCGTCTTCATACGGAAACAGAGGTTGAAATACACGTTAGTCTGAAACTTTATATGATGGCTTGCTTAGAAAAATCAGCAAGGAAAGCAAACGAAACAATCAAGATGATAAAAAAAAAAATGAGCAAATAAAGTCAATTCAAGAATAAAAATAAAAAAATCAATACAATTCAATAAATATTTAATAAAATCTGAAACCGAATCCGAAGCCTTTAAATAAATAAATAAATAAATAAACAAACAAGGCAATTACATCATGCTAACATCTATTAAGGAACAGGGTAAAACATGCTACGCAGTTCAGTACCTTATCATCAGGAGGACATTGGTAGAGGCTGTGGAAGGTCTCGGAGATGTTCTTCAGAAACCTCGGACCAAAAACGTCTTTATCTTCTCCAAACTGATGCCGAGACTGCCTGATGATGGAGTCCACCACATACAGGCCGGGGACCTTCAGCTCTGGACCACACTACAGAGAGACAAACAGAAAACATGATTCAGTTCAACAACAACAACAACAACAACACAACATTTACATTAAATCTGACAAGAACTTCCAGCAAATTTTTGAATCAGTAATAAATTAAAGATGGTAAAAAGTCTGGATTTCTGTTTAAATTAAGGGTGTAACGATAGACTTTGCTCACGATTTGATTCACGATACTAAGTTCACAAATTGATATTTTGTCTTATGATATTTTAAACAAAAATTTGAATAAAACAAAAATTATGAACAACATTTTTTTATTTCTGAAGTGCAAACAATGCAAAACAATGCATATTAGGAACAGAGCTTTAAAATTGTGAGCAAAATATTCTGTTGTAGCTTCACCATATATTAAATACCCAAGTAAAAACAGTCCCTTTGTATTTCTGAAGAATCACAAATTAAAATAATGGGTACTTTTTCTTGTGCGAAATTTCACAAACTTGTATTTAATGTAAACAAACAGAATGTTAACTCTCATGCAATCAAAAGAAATTAGAAGGAAAAAATTGTGAAAATTGTGACACTGAATGAAACTGAGGTTCTTTTAGTCACACAGGTTTCAGAAGTTTCACAGTATCATCTGCATCACCAAACGCTGTACTTGGGCTCCAGAGTGTTAACTAGAAGTCCTCATGTCTTTTGAAATAAAAACACCAACCGAGGCTAGAGACCGTGGCGTATGGGAGCATGACGTATAACGTGCTGGTGTGGGTAAAATCGACTGCGCCCTCTGGTGTTCAAAAATGCGACTGCATTAGATGCCATAATAAACAGAATGTACTTGTTATTATCGTCCATCCCCACATTTTTGCATCGCGATGTATCGTGTCATGATGTATCGTTACACCCCTAGTTTAAATGTATCCTCCAAAAAGATTTTCTACATCAAAATCTCACAAATCACATCAGATCACATACCCTCTTGATGAACTTCTCAATTATTTGGACGACGTGTTTATAAAGCTGTTGGAAGAAACAAAGACGTCAGTGTTTTAGTCAGAAAAATGGACGGCCTACTGCAAATAACCACACAGTACATTTATGCACTAATTTACCTTGATAGCTTTTATCCCTGCTTTTGTGATGGACATCATCTTTGCTCGGGAAATTGGCGGCTTCATGTCCATCATGGACACCATCTGGTAATGAAAAGCAAAGGATGGACATAAATGACCTGAAGCCCTTTGAAAAAATCTGCTCATTTCAATATAAAGAACGCTGTTTGTGTTTTACACATTTTCACCAGTCTAGAAATGAGGATTTAACATGATGAGTTAACAACATTTTAAAATGAACAGCTGTAAAATGCCCCATGTGTCCAAACAGTACAGGACGTGTAGCTAATTTTAACACAACATAATGTAAAATTCAGCAGTTGGGAGTCACGTTAGAACAGCTGGGCCCTCCATTCACTCAGACACAATAACAGTCTCGCCCAAACTTTCTCTGTAACGTAACCAGACTGATGTTATTCCCTTTTAGCAGTGTGGTTCTCCATTCTTCCCTGCCTGAACTCCAAACAAAAAATACATTATGAGATATATATATATTTTGTTTAAACACTATTACATATTTTTAAATACATTTTAAAGTACATTTTTCATATAATAATAATAATAATTATAATAATAGTAGTAGTATTTTGCCTCTTTGGACACAATCATTCGTATGCAGGACAGAGCAGCATGTCCTACATATATTAAATATCATTATACATTATTGAATGTGTTATTATATGTTACTACTACTTTTTCTTTATTTTAAATGCCACTGTGTTGCTCATCATAGTCCACAGGGTAATCGATATGTCAACCATATAGTAATAATAATAATAATAATAATAATAATAATAATAATAATAATAATAATAATAACAACAACAACAACAACACAACAATAACAATAATAATAATAAGAAGAAGAAGAAACTACCATCTCAGACCAGTGTTCATTATAGCATCTTACTTACCTGCCATATTACCCCACTTATCGGACTGTTACCTCACTGATCCCTTTCTTTGCCACTATACACCCTTTAACTGCTGCTGCACTCAGCACTTTAACCTTAGACTCATACTTTGCACAATGTAAAGGTTACAGGTATGACTGTGTGTGTGTGTGTGTGTGTGTGTGTGTGTGTGTGTGATGGTAGGAATGCATGTTTTATTTTATTTTTTTGTACTGTATTTTATTTTATTCTATTCTATTTTATATTTATTTTATTTACTACATGTAAATGTCTGTCTGGTACTGTGCACTGTGAGCTCCTGTAACCAAAACCAAATTCCTTGTATGTGTAAGCAAACCTGGCCAATAAAGCTTGACTCTGATTCTGATTCTGATTCTGAAGATGAAGAAGAGTAACAGTAGTGTTTTGCCTCTTTGGACACAATCATTCGTATGCAGTACAGAGCTGCATGTCCTAAGACACACCAAGCCACCAAGGATTAACTAGTAGAAAATAATTCATATTTTTATTTATATTTATTATTTAACAAATGTATACCTCTGAGTGCTACTGAACATTTTATCCTGCTAGCACAGCTGCTATGATCTCAATCAGTGAGCTCACAGCCGTGTCTATACACCAAACGTCCCAGGTCCACTCATAACATCTGTGAGGTCATAAATCATTCCTGCATGACCATTTCCCAACGTCTCTTTATCCACTAGAAGTAAACAGGCTGTTTACGTTACTGTGCCTTTAAGACTGATACATGTAAATGAGCTCTGTTCTGACTGGCTGTCCTGTATTGTGCCTCATTTAACTCTTGTGTGGTGTTCAGGTCTGTGGGACCCATTTTCAGTGTTTACCAAAAGATAAAATGATGCGATTAATTATTATTTCTACCTCAAATTCTTGGTCTTTGCTCATTTTCTGTGAAAAACATACAAAATAACCCATTTTCAGTGCCTTCTCTCTGTTCACCCCCCAAAACATTTATATTACACATGTGGTGTTGGCTGAACCCGCGGGGAGTAAAAGTGTGGAGGTGCTGTGTCCTTCACTCTGTTCTCCTCCTACATGGCCTGCTGTTAGTGTGTGTGTGTGTGTGTGTGTGTGTGTGTGCGCAACATGGACAGGCTGCTGACTGGCTACAGCTGCTAAAGGAGAACACTTGTAACTGCTAAAGGAGAACCCTACGCTGGACACTTGTAATATTTTAAACATCTGGTATTTTTACATAAATTGTTATGACTGTATTGATTTAAACAAACACATCAGCAACACAAGGGTTAAAAAGCACCTGGAGCTAAGAGAGTGATGTAGATAACAAGCAACAGAAACCTATAGCCCACCCATTAGCATGGTGCTAACAGCATCCTTAAACCATCACACACTCTTCTCAAGCCACGTCAGGTTTTTAGATGAACTCCTGACTTAGAAAAACTGTGCAAATTAAGTTTTTCGCCGAGCTGTTTAACATCGGTTTATGATTTTCCTAAGATGTTTTCGGGAAACGGCAGAAAATCATTTGCAAAATATACATTTTTTACACAACAAGAATGAATTGATTAAACCGTAGTAAATCACTGACCGTCTGATCAATATGTTCATCAACATGAACAGAGCTTTCTAGCCCAGTTAAGAAGAATTAATTATATCAGTCTACAGAAAAGAAAGGGGGGGCAACTGATATAATCTGGCCGACAATACTGCCGATAACAGGGCCTTTTTTCGGCCGCAGCACCACTACAACTCAAACTTGCGAGCTCGGCTGGTCAGTACGACGTTCTCTCTTTAACAGCAACACAGACTGACCTGAACACAAAACACCATCACTGCGTTATACAAGCACATAAATGCACCCAAACCCCACCTTTAGCATGAGAATAACACTAAAAAGCTGTTTGTGACGCCCGAAAAAAGATGAAAAATAAGAGGTGATGAACAAAAGACAAAAGCCAAAAGCACTCTGGGTAGTCCTCCCCATAACCCCAGCCCCACCCCCACACCCCCCCGGCCAGGGCCATAGTACATTATATAAGTCTGACGCTGAGATCAAAAAGTGCCATATTAACTAGTACATCAAAACTAATACACCACCAACAGAAATGCATTTAGGCTACGTTCACATTACCAGACTGAAGTGGCACAAATCTGATTTTTGGCCCTAATGTGACTCAGATCTGATGTTTTCAGAGCTGTGTGGACACAAATCTGATCTTTTCAAATCCAACCTGAGCCACTTTCATATGTGGTCCTAGACTGGATGCCTATCCGATTCACGGCCATGCGACCTTAATGAGACGATCAGACGCTGAATGATGGCACAGCCGAACAGAAGTTAAAGCCTGTAAACGGTGGAAAAGCAGCTCATCTCACCTTTTTCTCCTTCGTCTCGCTCTAATAATGAAGCTGAGAGCTGATGAGAGTTAATTATCTTCTCAGCAAAGCTCGTTCCGCTCGTTAGTTTGTTTGCTGATGATGAACGTGATTCATTCACGTGACGTTACTGAGTAGGATGAGCTCATGCAGGTCATTTCAGGACGCCGGTTCGTTTACATTAATGACAGATTGGAGTCACTTACCTAAACGAGTGTGAACCACCATGTCAGAGAGATCGGATTTGAGCAACGAGGCTTGTAATGTGAACGTAGCCTTATTAGCACAGTATGTATAGTAACCATAGGAAACCAGTATGTGACAAAAAACAATACATAAAGTGACAGATTTGCCAAACATTCATCTCAGGACCAAAATACACGTCTGTTTTTGGAGTCGGACCCATCAGAAGCGACCAAACACCCACATTATAACAACAAAACCACAGTTAGTTGCAAACCTTCACACCTCAAGCCAAAACAGAGCTCAGCCTCAAATAATACAGAATAACTCACCATTACAATATTCATCAGAAACATTAATCAGATATTTTAGTTTGAATGAATAACTGACTCTAAATGTAGGTATTGTGATATAAACCGAGTCTGTTCTACAGTTTCTCATTAGGCTGAATGAATAACTGACTCTAAATGTAGGTATTGTGATATAAACCGAGTCTGTTCTACAGTTTCTCATTAGGTTGAATGGAGTTTCATAAATCTTCCTTGACTTTGCAACAACAGTGAACGAGTTGAGTCAGGTGTGTTTAAGTAGATGAAACTCCAGCAGCATCACTGGAGAACATCAAGCTAGATCTACAAGGCCAGCCAGGCTGTAACTCTGACCAATAAAGCACGGTTAGGCCTCAGCATAGACATAGAGAATAGAGCATGTGTTTATGAAGCTGAAACTTAGTCAGGAACCCGGTAAGTTGAACCTTATGAAGGAGACCCCATGTGAGAGAACTGCTATAAACAAAAACAAACATTAGATGGCTGGAAAAGTTTAGGAAAACCAAAAGAAATAAAGACTGTAACAGAAGAGACCAGTTTTATTAACACAGCTGGAAACTTCCCTCCGCTTTTCCAACATATATATCGATCATTAAGATGTAAACAGAGTCATTCAGAGTGGTTTGGTGTGAAACGCTCTGTTCTAGAGAAACTTACCGAGTCAGAACTGTTCACAGTGGTGGTGATAGGAACCAGACGTCCACCTCTAAAAGCTCCCTCGCAGAAAGTTACTACATGAAATGGTTATGAATTCACTGCCTGATCTCTGAGACATTGCTTTAAGATAGTTTTGAGAAGATTTTGGACTATAAGTGTGTATTATTTAATATATTCATGGCAAAGAGACACATTCAAGGCAAAATTTCTTCTCAGATTTTCCACTATTTTACTATTTTCACAGCAGTTCTGATAGGAACCAGACGTCCAGAGAGTTTATTGGCAGTAAAAGCTCCCTCACAAAAACGGTTATGTATACGCTGCTGATGAGAGACACTTTTTATTATGTTTTATGATAGTTCTGTGACAATTTTTTTTAGTCCCCAGTAAAACTCGTGCTTTTTTCCAATATTTATGTCTATTTTACCATCAACACTGTTGCATTCAAAGACTAAGAAGACTTGTATAGGTTCACTGGTTGTCCTGGATAGTAAATAAAATCAATGCGTAAACACTGCAACTCCTGGTTCCTATCACCACCACTGTAAACAAAAAAATCCATTGTGAGTTTCTCTGTTTCTCTACAATGGAGCAATTCAAGCCAAACCACTCTGAACGCCTTTACATCTCAATGACTGAACTATCCAGAGGTTTTGAAAGATGGGTGGAGTTCCCCTTTGAGTACTTTAGTAACAATGTTATAAACTGCATTTCAAAAAAACGATTTTAACACTATCAATTTTTATTTATTTGTACATTCTGTTGTTTTTTGACCCTCGGCCCACCACAAACACTGCACTTTGGCCACCCAGACTAAATGTTTGGATACCCCCGTAGTACAGGATTTACATGGTATGCATTTAAGTTAGTTAACTTAAGTAGTTGCTGATTGGTGAAGGGAAACCACAACAGCTTTGTAGTCTTCGTGAGATGCGCTATTAATGTTTGCGAAGCAAAACAAACAAACAAACATGTTGTGGGGCCTTGCTAATGCTAACACGAACCAAACCACCTTAAACAGCCTTTACTTACTTCTTTGGCCGTTAACATGACAAAAACACGTTAAAGTCTTCTAATAGTTGCGAACATGCGAGCCTGAAGCCAGCTTCTTGTTCGAATTTGCCCGTTCCACCTTAAACGGTGCAGCGGTTATTATTGTAACCCCTGATTCCCCAGAATGAAACGGGGCACCATTTAAGGTGGAACGAGCGAATTCGGACAAGAAGCTGGCGAACAGGAATGTGACGTCAGTCTCGTTGCGAACATGACGCTGAACAGCAAATTAACTAAAACTAAACTAAATAAAAATCCTAAAAAAAAAAGAAATAAAGAAATAAAAGCTAAGTTAGCTTAGCTGACGTTAACCGCAATCTACTTAACATACTACACAGTGTGTACGCCAACGAGAACTCCCGCCCGCGCTATGATTGGCTGCTCTTTCACGTTTGCGAGGAGTAGCACCGCTACCAGCCTATGGCAGCTCGAGCGGCGAGAAGAGGAGCCAATCAGAGCGCTAGGAGGGCGGGCCTTGTCGTTAGCCTACACCGCAGCCAGAAGCACGGTAGGACGCAGTGTTTGACGACTCGATTAGCTTAGCACTCAAAAGGGCTAACGATGAGAAAACGGCGTTCAGTGCGTTCTTACCTCCGCGTTAAAAGCCTGCACTGCATCCATGGCGCCTTCTGGGTCTTCACCTACCCGTCTGTCTTCATCTGGAGCAGCACGGACGGCTGTCGGCGGATATTTTTACTGATAATGTTGAAGAATCCAACTTCACCTCAACTGCTAACGAGATGCAATAGCATGCGCATGCGCGGTTAAACGCCTACTGATCAGCGGCGCCTGCTGGACGGCAATAGGAACTAACCGCGTGTTGTGGATGCCTGTCTGTAGGACCAGAGGTGCCCAACGACGCTGCGTACATTAGAGCTTTGTTTTCAGCGTATTTAACCTTAAAAGCTGTTTTCCCAGTTTGGCCAGTCTGAGCTGAGTTTATTCAGCTGTTGTTCTCTGCAGCCTCTGTAAATGTAGCTTTTACTGTGAGGAAACTCGACCTCAGACTCAGTTTGAGTCACTAACAGCAGAATCATGTTTGATTTTGAGAAGCGACACTATGTCTTTATATTTCAATCCAAGATCGACATAAAATTCAATGAGCTGCTCCGTGTCTGAGCTTAAGCAAAGCACAGCTTTTCCAAGTGAACGCAAACCGTTGCATCGTAATACAAAACATTTGCGAGGGAACGTAAAACATTTGCAAGGGAATGCAATGTCATTAACTTTTTTTTTCTAACCACGGCCCCTTAAGGGCTCCGTAGTGTTGACGTTTTATAGAAAAAATAAATAATAATAATTATTAATAAAAAATAATACTTGTTTTCACACCAACTTGCTGCCTAACCAGTACCTGACAGTGACATTTGTGATGTACTATATTAGCTGACACATAAACAGTGTTTATAGTTCTGTGTAATATGTACTGAGTCGATTTTCTCCATTACAAAGTTACAGAAACGCTTTAAAGAGTTTAGTAAACAGTGCCGTCTGAAGGCCGCAGTGGTGAGAGCGCAGCAGCGTTCAGCAGCTGTTTCTATAGAAACAAGCACAGCAGGAAGTGCTGCAGGGCTCCGCTAAGGTTAGCAGCGTTAGCCTCGAAACATCAGAGACACTCGGAATAAAGTTATTATTACAGTAAACTGAGCGAAACAGACACAGATAACCCCGCACAGGTACAGGTATACAGTCACTGCTCAGTACGCCGCGTCTGGCCGTTATCAGTAATGTCTTTTCTCTCTGTTAGCTGCAGGTAGAGATAGCTTTAGCTTTAGCTTTAGCTGCCCCACTGCCGGACACTGATTTCACAGCAGCAGCGGCGGCGCTGAGTGAGTCTCTCTGGATTTATTTATATTTTTCAGCTTCATTTAATTCTCTGGATATTTTATTTGGGTACTTTTTTAGCTAACCGTCTGCTGGTTACACCGTGTTTGATTTTATTTCCTTTCCTAATTTTTAAAATTGTATTTTATTTTAACTCTGCCTGTATTTGTTATTGTAACGTTATTTTTATTTTAGACACAGTTTTCGCCTATTTCATGTCATTTTATTCAATTTATTTAATTTAATTTTATTTTTACTATCTGTGTGTTTTTAATAGTATTTTACTATTGTTTTTAACCAGTTCTTTGCCTATTTCATACTATTTTATTTTCCCTGTCTGTTGTTATATTCTGTTTATTTTATTTTTATTTTTTTTCTATTTCATGTTATTTTATTTTTCCCTGTCCTGTTTATTTTATTTGATTTCGTTCAAGCCAACTGTTTTAATTTGTCTAAATCTCCTTCTGTATTTTTCTGCATTTATTTATTTATTGAGCCAATTCCCTGCTTGTTTTACATTATTTTATAACTCACTATCTGTTCTACTTCATTTAATTTTATTATATGTTTTGTAGACGTACTAATCTCTATTTAAGTGTTTACTTTGCTCAACACCAACACATTTCCGTCACTTGGAAACAGTAAATCTCAGGGGAGTTGTTTGCCTCTCCACGGCTGTTTTTATATAAACAAAGACGTCACATATTTCTAAAGATTATATAGAAAAAAAATGAGAAAATATCTACTTTATTGCTTTTGTCAAAGTTATATTTACCCAGTACTTATTTATAAGAAGTAAGACTGATATAGAGATATGAAGATCACTTGTAGAAAAGGAAATAGTCCTTATTTTTAAGGGAAACGTTGCACCATATTCATAGTAACGTTTTTATTCAGAGTACTTACCAGTGATTTCATCCCTACAGCAGAGGATTTATAAATTAAGCAGTGTGTAGATTTGATTTATTGTTGATTTATTAAGTGTATAACATTTGTGTGTATTTTAAAGGGTAAGATGTTGAATTAGGCCTGGGCAATATGACGACATATATTGCTATTATGATAAATTATATCACAATATAATACAATATGCTTTTCTGAATGTATAGTGTATATCGTCAGTACTTGTAGACACTGACCGACTGCATGTTATATTATAAAGAGAGCAAAATGAGGCCTGTTAACTGGATTTAGTGCCAAATATTGAATAAAAATCATAGTATTCACAGTTTTTGATCGTATTTTCTTGAAGTGTAGCACTACTGGCACTTTTTTTCCCCGTTCCAGCTGATCAGACATCTGAAAAAATATATGTCGTGATGTTTTGTGTATTGTGAAAATGTCTTAAAGTATCATGATATTACATTTTTGCCATATCGCCCACTTTTATGTTGAAGATGAGACATTTCTGTCTCATTTCCTGGTTAATCTGACTGTTTCCACTCTTCTAGAATCACGATGTGTGTGCCGGGTTCTGTGTCCTACCAGCCGTCCAGCTCAGCTTTCTTAACATTCAGAGCTGGACGCGGATCCTAAACATGGACCGGGCCTAACTGTGGACTGAACTGCACTGACCAGACTGAAAGTAACTCCTTTTACAGTCTAAGATCATATTTAAAATGACAGTTTGGTGAAATATCTATATTTTCACTGTTTCCATACTTACCCCAGGTGTAGTCTGTCACCCAAGACGTGTTCGGTGTCTGAAATTTGCTTCTTTAGTTTTAGCACTGAAGCTATGCGGCTAACTGAGATCAGCATGGTGCTAACTGCAGGCTTAAACCATCACACTCATCTCAAAGCGTGTGGAGATGTTTATTAATCTCTAATAGACCCGATTCTGTGGTTTCTGACACTGTATGACTCACTGCTATCTATAAACATGGACTAAAGTACGTTAGCGTAAAGCTAAAAACAGTAGCAGCACCTTGAGGCCTGAGTTGTTGTCGTTTTTATAGTTAACAGTATATTAGCTATACTACAGCCAGCCGATATTGCTAAATATAGCTAACATATAAGCTAAGATATAGCTAAAATATATTTTTCAATATCAATCCATGTCAGTACTTTTCAGTAATGGTTACTGCATTTTGTAATTCTCTATTTTTAAGTGTAATATTTTGGACACTGAGGGAAAAAAGGCTTATTTTGGTGGAAAGAACAGATAAAAACACAAAATGGGGCCTGTACAAAAAAATATAGTACATTTTATACCGTACGAATTATTGTTCTCAGTGTGTTAAATTCACAAATAAATAGAAATGTAAAGTTTTGCATATGACTGTATATACAATAGTATATACTATTAGCCATATATTTATATAGTGCTAAAAATAATGTATATGAAAGTAGCTAACACTAGCTAGCTCTGCTAACTGTTATCATATTTGTGTACAGTTTATAAAATAATATATGAAAATAGCTAATGCTAACTGACTTTGGTTTCTGTGTTATTATTTTTATAGTATATAAAAATAGCTGTGAGTGAACAGCTAGACTTCCTCTTCTTCCCACCTAGAGAGTAAAAGCCACACAGCGCCACCTAGTGTACTGAAGCAGCAACTGTTTAGAGTAGCCACTGCTGCTAATACCAGCTTGAGCAACAGAAAGGCATAATTGTTCCAAAATATCCAAAAATATTTTGAATTAGAAATTTAATATTTAATATACATATTTAATTCTAAAGGTTTTTTCCCCGTTTTATTGCCCAGGCCTTCATCTCCGTCTCTGTCCTCTTCGCAATGTCCCGGCCGGTGATACGCCCACTAAGCGTCGGAGCCACGGCCCCCGAGTCTCTCTCCCTGCTGCAGCAGCGCCTCCTGGTGGCTGAGGAGCAGACGGAGGAGCTGCTGAAGGACATGGGGACGCTGGGGGTGTCCAGAGAGCAGCTGCGGACCCCCGGGTCACCGGGTAGGGGGGTCAGCATGCGTCCGCTGAGCCCAGTGAGAGTGCAGCAGGCCCTGGGGGTCGGAGGGGAAGGAACTCTGTGGCGGCAGTGTGAGGCGCTGGTGGGCCGGGTGTGTCGCCTGGAGAGTCTCTTACACACACTCAAACTGACCGTCTTCCGCTTAGAGACGGAGAGAGCGCTCAACCCCTCGCATACAGGTAAACACTGTCTGTCTGTCCATCTGTTTTTCCTTTCTCTCTCTCCCTCTTTCCTTCTCAGCTCCCTCTTATAATCTCCAGTTCTTTTCTTTCTTTTAAAGGGGAATTCCACCAACATTTTCCGAATTTTCTGCATAATTAACTGGGTAAGATGGAAACAAAGTTCATTCAGAGTGGTTTGGTGTGAAACGCTCCGTTCTAGATAAACATACCGAGTCAGAATTGTTCGTAGCGGTGGTGATAGGAACCAGACGTCCCCCTCTAAAAGCTCCCTCACAGAAAGTTACTACATGAAATGATTATGAATTCACTGCCTGATGTCTGAGACACTGTTTTATAATAGTTTTGAGAAGATTTTTTGCCAAAAATATGTATTTTTTTTACATATTCATGCTGGAAGGACACATGCTGGGTGTTGTGAAGCCAAAGTAAATTTCATTTGTTCAGATTTTCCACTATTTTCCATCATCAACATTCCACATAAACTCAGAAGACTCGTGTAGGTTCACTGGTAGTTTTGGATAGTAGATAAAATGCCTATGTCTGTGTTGTAGTCATGGCGACCCCTGGTTCCTATCACCACCACTGTAAAGACATCTGAACCATTTCACACCCAACCACTCTGAATCTCTCTGTTTACAGCTGAAACACTGAATTATGCAGGAATTCTGGACAATTGTTGGAATTCCCTTTTAAAATTTTTTAACAGTAGTATTTAATGTAGTACTACATAAGCAGCTTTAATATGCACGATTCAAACGAAACCTCAGTGATAAGTTACTTTCCCATGTGTTACTTTGACTAAATTGTACGTCTCTTTATGTTTTTGTGCTTTTTGTGTGTGTCTTTGGGTTTTAGTGCCATGTAAATATAGCTATATTGATATTATTGCAGATCTCTCTGTTTTTAATCCATCATGGTTGTGATGTCACAACCTTGAGCACAGTTACATGTGACCACCCATGCAGCCTACAGCAGTTCAGCACGGCGCATTCACATTGAAGTGATAAAGAGTGTCGTCACTGCAGAACAGAGCGTGTTACCGAAACATTAAACGTTAAGAATGTAGAATATCAGCTCTTTAAAGATGCTTTATTCATCTGTGTGTGTGTGTGTGTATTAGCTCGTTTGCAGGAGCAGTTAGAGGCTCTGCAGGAGCAGAGTGAGGAGGAGCAGCGCTCGTCGCGGAGGGAGGTCATGCGTCTAAGGGATCAGCTGGAACAGGCCTGTCAGGAGAGAGAGGAGGCACGGCAGGAGGCGCACAAACTCAGACAACAGCTGGACATCTCTCACTGCTCTAAAGTACAGTCTTTATACAGTGCACTTCTAGAGTACAGCTCCTATATAGTGCACCTCTTCTAGAGTAGCTCCTATATAGTACACCTCTTCTAAACTACAGCTCCTTTTTAGTGCACCTCTCTTAGAGTACAGCTCCTATAGGCCCATTGATTGGCAGTATAGCCCCTATATAGTACCTCCTCAAGAGTAGCTCCCATATAGGATGCTTTCTAGAGTAGCTGCTATATAGTGCACCTCTGCTAGAGTAGCTCGTACATAATACATCTTCTCTAGAGTACAGCTCCTATATAGTCACACCTATTCTAGAGTACAGAGTCTATATTGTACGCATCTTGTAGAGTACAGCTCCTATATGGTACACCTCTTATTGAATAGAGCTTCTCGAGAGTACACCTCCTCCAGAGTAGTGCCTATATAGTACACCTATTCTAGAGCACAGCTCCTATATAGTACACCTATTCTAGAGCGCAGCTCCTACATAGTACACATCTTCTAAAATGGAGCTCATGTATAGTACACATCTTCTAGAATAGAGCTCCTTTGGGGTACACATCTTCTAGAATAGAGCTCCTATAAAGTACACCTCCTCTAGAGTACAGTTCCTACATAGTACACCTCTAGTAGAGAGCAGCTCTTACATAGTAGACCACTTCTAGAAAAGAGTTATATAGTACACCTCTTCAAGAGTAGCTCCTATTTATGATGTTTTCTAGAGTAACTCCTACGTCTTCTAGAATAGAGCTCCTGTGGGGCACACATCTACAAAAATAGAGCTCCTATAAAGTATACCTCCTCTAGAGTACAGCACCTACATAGGACATCTATTCTAGAGCAGAGCTCCTATATTGTACACCTCTTCTAGAACAGAGCTCCTATATAGTACAACTCATCTAGAACAGAGATCCTATATAGTACACCTCTTCTAGAGCAGAGCTCCTATATAGTACACCTCTTCTAGAACAGGGCTCATATATAGGACACCTATTCTGGAACAGAGCTCCTATATAAGACACCTCTTCTGCAACAGAACTCCTGTACAGTACACCTCTTCTAGAACAGAGCTCCTATATAGGACACCTCTCCTAGAACAGGGCTCATATACAGGACACCTATTCTGGAACAAAGCTTCTATATGGGACATCTCTTTTAGAACAGAGCTCCTATATAGGACACCTCTTCTAGAGTACAGCACCTACATAGGACATATCTTCTAGAACAGAGCTCCTATATAGTACATCTCGTCTAGAACAGAGCTCCTATATAGTACATCTCGTCTAGAACAGAGCTCCTATATAGGACACCTGTTCTAGAGTACAGCACCTACATAGGACACCTCTTCTAGAACAGAGCTTCTGTATAACACACCTGCACTAGAGTAGCGCTTATATAGTACACCTCTTCTAGAGTAGCTCCTATAGAAGACATTTCTTCTGGAACAGAGCTCCTATATAGGGTACCTCTTCTAGAACAGAGCTTGTATATAGTACACCTCTTCTAGAGTAGCTCTGATATACTACACCTTTTCTAGAACAGAGCTTCTGTATAGAGTACACCTGTTTTATAGTAAACGTCTTTAGAGTACAGGTTTTCTATATGAAGTTTTGTATAAAATTAGCAAATATTAATGCAGTATTTTCTATAATAACAAACTGAGGCTTGAGGCTGAAGCTTTAGTTTAGCAGTGTAGACTCAATGATTATGATGATCTCAATGATCTCAAACTGCCGTGGAAAATACTTGCGTCAGTCCATGACAACCATTCCAAATGCATTGCTGAATAAAATGAATTGATTGAAAATGATATCAGTGAATAATCTAAAGCCACTTGCCTTTTTTGTGTTCGCTGATGCAGATGGATGTTGCAATGGCAGCAGATGAGCTGAAGATGGTCAAAGTTCAGATGAGCCAGAAGCTGCAACAGGTGAGAGGGCATCAAAGAGCCTGTCAAAGCGGCGGTCAGTAGAATAGCCCCACCCTGTATAACAAGTGACCCATATGACGCCTGTCGTTTGACCTGTCCACAGATGAAGGAGGAGATGGCGGAGGAGACAGCGGCCCGTCTAGAGGCCGAACAGTCCCACCGTGCGCTGCTGCAGAGAGTGGAAGAGATGGAGGAAGTAGTGGAGAGAGAGAGAGAGCAGGTCAGAGGAGGAGAGGAAAGGAATGAGAACGACATTTGAGCACACACTGTCTGTTTTCAGTATCTGCTCTGACCCTCTGAGGTCAAGCCGACTTTTATTGTAATTTGATCCACGTTTGCCAGCAAATGAATAGCTAGTCTGCATAAATGAGGCCAGAGCATTCAAAGTAGTACTAGATCTGCAGTCTTTGCTTTAGGAAGCTCAAGCTATTTTAGTGTGGGTTTGATATAGTACACATCTCTTGTAGAGTCCAGCTTCTATATAGTACAGCTTCAATATAACACACCTCTTTTAGAGTACAGTTTCTATATGGTACATCTGTTCTAGAGACCAGTGTCTTTATAGTACATGTCTTCTTGCAATTTCTACATCTTTTATTTAGTACACCTCTTCTAGAGTATTATTTGTATATAGTACACATCTTGTTGAATCCAGCTTCTAGATAGTCCAGCTTCTATATAATACCCGTCTTTTAGAGTACAGCTTCTTTGCTGTACACCTCTTCTAGAGTACAGCTTCTATATAGTACAGCTCTTCTAAAGAACAGCTTCTCTATAGTTCACTTTTTCTAGAGTACAGCTTATCTATAGGACACTTCTTCTAGAGCACAGCTTCTCTATACTACACCTCTTCTGGAGTACGGCTTCTCTATAGTACACCTCTTCTAGAGTACAAATTATGTAGTTCACTTTTTCTAGAGTTCAGCTTCTATGTAGTACACCTCTTCTAGAGTACAAATTATGTAGTTCACTTTTTCTAGAGTTCAGCTTCTATGTAGTACACCTCTTCTAGAGCACAGCTTCTCTATAGTACACCTCTTCTAGAGCACAGCTTCTCTATAGTACACCTCTTCTAGAGTACAAATTATATAGTACACCTCTTTTAGAGCACAGCTTCTTTATAGTACACCTCTTCTAGAGTACAAATTAGGTAGGTCACTTTTTCTAGAGTACAGCTTCTATGTAGTACACCTCTTTTAGAGTACCAATTTTATATAGTACACCTCTTCTAGAGCACAGCTTCTCTATAGTACACCTATTCTAGAGTACAAATTATATAGTACACCTCTTCTAGAGCACAGCTTCTCTATAGTTCACCTCTTCTAGAGTACTAATTATATAGTACACCTCTTCTAGAGCACAGCTTCTCTATAGTACACCTCTTCTAGAGCACAGCTTCTCTATAGTACACGTCTTCTAGAGCACAGCTTTTCTATAGTACACCTCTTCTAGAGCACAGTCTCTATACAGTACACCTCTACTAGAGTACGGCTTCTATACAGTACACGTGGAGTAAAATTTATATCTATACTTATATATGTCACAACAAGTATAACACCACAGTGATACATTACATTCATCACAACACAAAAGAAAACAAATGAACAGTCTCTTTAAAATCTGTAGGTAAAGCTCCTCCAGGCTGACTGCCACGCCCTGCGCGGTGACGGTCAGGAGACGAGGGCGGAGCTACAGGAGAAGGAGGAGCTTATAGACCGCTTACAGAAAGAGTGTGAGCAGCTCAGGGACCAATCAGGTGAGCAGCACAGAATCATGGGAATATGTAGTCTTTTCTCTGGAACGTGTGTAAACTGTGCAGTCAGAGATCAGAGATCAGTTTGTGTTCTTTTTCCGTCAGATGGGAAGGAAACTCTGGTATCAGAGCTGACCAGCGAGCTGAAGGTAAGAGTGGAACTGTGTGCAGTAGAAGATACGAC